TTCAGTAGGTTCAGAGTTTAATAACACATAGACTTCACAGCATTCATCAGAAGAAGTAACAACATTAGCCTCAGCGTAAACCTTTTCTTTTTGTTTATTTTTCTCAACATAACAGTTTTTAATGAAATGTCCAGTTTTACCGCACTCATAGCATTTTCTACCTTTAACTTTACTTTTTGACCTAGATAGACTTCTAGTTTTCTTTTTACTATCTGATGCATATCCACTTTGGTTATCATGAGTTCTAGATTGAGACCCACCTCTCATCATATGAACCTCACCACTTTTTCTCTCGATTCTTTTGGCTTGCATTTCCACATCTTTGCTTCTTAACGAGTCCATGACAATTTCAGGTGTTAAATTATATCTTCCGTATTTAATAGCATTTTTATCTTCTCTATAGATGTCAGGGACAGCATTTAACAGAATGATAGCCTTATATTTTTCAGATACTTTTTCACTACACTTAGTGATATCTTACACGAGTTTATTGAAAACATTCAAATTGTCATCCATATCTTTTGAAGAATCGATTTTGAAGTTGAAAAAACTTTCAAGTAGAAAAAATTTGTTTGGAGTGAATTTTGACTCATAAAGTTCCTCAAGTTTTTGAGCTGATTTTAATTTACCAACTTTTCTTAATACAACGTCAGGCAAATGTAAAATGATAGAAGTATAAGCCAACTCATCCAAATTCTCTTTTTTGTCAGCAGTCAAGTTTGCAGGAAAATAGCCATCAATAGCTTTAGAGACTTTTTGTTGAACAAGAATACATTTCATTTTTTGTTGTCAAAGTGAAAAATCTCATTTACCATTAAAAACACCCAACTCAAAATGATGTGTTGACATCTCAAAAAAATGCACAGAACACAACCACAAGTATTAAGAGTCACAGGTCACACAGATTACACACAGTAACAAGTTTCATATTGTTTCTCAGTAATACGCTATTCTAGAACCTCATGATTCCGTGAAAATCGTGTTCCCAAGTCAAGGGAAGAAACTAGAATAGGAGTCCGAGTACAAGTATAAAATAATATGAGATTAAATAACAACGCTCAACAAATAAATGTAAAGACAATAAATAAATAATTTCACTTGAAATTAAACAGAGAAAGATAAGTAATCCTAAATTCTACCAACAAACAATGGTTACCAAGCAATGGCAACCCTCAATCCTAATGATCACCTCACACGATGATTTGCTAGTGCGACAATGTAAAGGTTTCAGCCAATTTACCAGAGTGGACCAGTTCTGTAGTCCGTAAAATAGGAGAGATGTGAATTTACTGCTTTAGGACCGCTATTTTAGCCTAAAGTAATTCAGTAAATGTATATGACAATTCCGACCGTTGGCCCACCAAGGGCAAAATTGTCCGAATTTTGCTGCAGTACCTGAAACGAAAAACTAACAACACACGAATGTTAGAAAAATCAAAATAAAGATTCTGTTTGAAGAAACCTTCATCGGATTCCTCCTCACGCGCCACTGTCGAAGTGCCTAATCCCCGCCGCCGACCATCACACGTTGGTCAATCACCTTCTTCTTCGCCCGCTGAGTCCGATTCTGTCCTCCGTTTCTCCAACAAGTCAGCCGTTTGTCCAGAAAGTCGATTTGCATGTCCGAATTTTGTGAAAAATTTCACCATTCTTCTTCAGTTGCTTTGTTCACGATTCTTCCTTCAATTTTGACTCCCCACCAAGCTCTGATACCAATTTTTGAGTCTAATTCCACCTAAAATTGAACAAATAAAAGTAATTAGTTTATGGAATTAATAATAAAAGGCAATCAAAATTAAGAAATCAAATCAAGAAACTAATTTCAATAAGAACAATTAATTCCCTTTCTCTTAAGTTTAGAAAACTTAATCCAATCACCACAAAGGCAACATCAAACTTTGGAGAAACACATGGGGCATAAGCTAAAATTGAATATTTGCACAAAGCAGGAAGGTTTTAGCACTAAGCAGAGAACCGTTTGTTTTGCTCCTTCTAAAGCACAAAGCAAAAGTGATTTTTGGTGTGAATAATTGAACCGAGAGACTTCAATTTATAGGCAGATAGTTCAACTAATTTCCCACGATTTTCTCTCAGAGATAGATATAACAAGAATTGAAAATGATTACCAAAAGATAACGATAGAGTTTTACAATTTGAAAGAAGGAAGAGAAACCATTATCACTTTATCTCCAATAAGTTGGGTATTGAGCATCTAATCCAATGAACTGATTTCCTCTAAATATCCAACAAGATTTGGACTATATCGTCTGTAGTGTGAATCTCAATATTCTTCAATCTCGGGCTTATAGCTTATGAAGTTAAACGGGCACGATTTTTCATCATCGTTTAAAAATTATTTGGGCATCACAAAAAATAACCAACAATATATTTGGAGGATAGAAGTAGAAGAGATATATAAATGAATAGTAAACAAGAAGTTAACTTAGATGGCAAGGGTAGAAATGAAATTGGAAAAAAGCTTCGACAATGAACTGCGTATTCGCTCGGAAATGAATCTGATGCTGTCGAGCCGTGAAATTGTCAATCTATTGTATAAGTAGCAGATTCTAAAACCAGACTATCGCGTTGTTATTTTGTGTGCAGTTTTCGTCCCCTCTTTCTTCAAAATTAGGGTTTTCTGCAAGCGGTGAACGATGTCGAGCACAGAAGCGAAGAAGATGGTCGTCCTGAAAAGCTTTGATGGAGTGACTTTTGAGGTGGAGGAATCGGTGGCGGTGCAGTTTGAATCGATCAGACATATGTTTGAGGATAATTTAGCAGGTTCCGTAATCCCTCTTTCCAATATCAAATCCGAGATCCTGTCTAAAGTGATTGATTACTGCAAGCGCCACGCCGATGACACCACTGATGAGGAGGACCTCAAGGCGTTCGACGCTGATTTTGTTAAAGTTGAACATGGCACACTCTTTGATATCATCAGGGTATTTCCTTTTCCTTTTCCTTTTTCTGCCGAAGTTATCTGTTATGCATCTTAACCGTTTCGTTTTCTCTCTTCTGCGGTTTTGAATTTCTGCATCGTGATGATTGTTATTGTTCTTGTGTTAATCTTATTGTACGTTTGTGATTTATGTGTGAATGTTGATTCTTTTATATTTTTTCTTTTGATTTTAATTTTTTTGTAATTGTCTAATGTTTTCTTTTTCTCGATAGTTTTACTTGCGATTGTTACTATGTTTTCCTGTTATTAATTTTTGGGTCTATATGTTGGGTTTTGCGTAAATGAAATATTCTTGTCTCTGGTTCATTTATGTTGGAAAAATTTTATTCTGAATCATCTTATTAATTTGTTAATTTCTACAATGTATGCTTTATTTTCTTATACATCATTACCTGCTGCTCGTTTGCTTTCACATTTATGCTTGTAATTGTCTGTTGCCTTTTAATGCTTGGAGTCAATGCCTTGACTTCAAATTTGCCAAATGTAACTACAGAATGTCTAATTCGTTGTCGTTATCCAATTTGAGCTTTACCTTGCATTTTGATTCCTTTGCATTATTTCTTTCTTTCTTTCTTTCTTTTTTTAGTTTAAAATATTTTCTACTCATTGACTGTTTTCTTTGTCTTTTTAGCTGTGCATGCAATTGTTACTCAGTTATTCTGTTATTTATATTGGGGTTTGCATACTCAAATGAAATATTATTGTCTCTGGTGTATTTGGGTTGGAAATTATTATTCTTTTAGCGCCTCGATAATGTGATTCTCTGTCTCATAATCAAAATGAATCTATCTGGCAGCAACTTGTAGGATTCTAGGCTTCTTGCTATGGGGATCTTTTTTATTATTATTATTTAAATTTCTACTGTATGTTCTATTTTCTTGATTATACTTCAATATCTGCTGCTAGTTTGCTCTCACATGTATGCTTGTAATTGCTTGTTGCCGTTGTATGCATGGAATCCATACCTGACTTTAAACTCATCAAATGTATTGAGAGAATGTCTAATTCCTTGCCATCAGAGAATGATGTTGTCCAAACAGTATGCTTCTCGAGGTTCATGGACGCCTAATTGAAAAATGCAGTTTGGTTTACAGTTCTTTTGTAGAAGGGTTTGCATTTTCATGTTTTTAGTAGTTACAGCTCTGCTGATGAACGCCGTTTTTTTAGGCTGCCAACTATTTGAACATCAAGAGCCTGCTTGACCTTACATGTCAAACTGTGGCAGACATGATCAAGGGGAAGACCCCTGCTGAAATCCGCGAACTTTTCAACATCAGTGATGAATTCACTCCAGAAGAGGAAGAGGAGGTTCGAAGGGAGAATGCCTGGGCATTTGAGTGATGTTGAGTCTTCAAGATGATTATATGTCATAGGGGTCTGCCAAACTCTGTTATTTGGTTCTAGGAATGTCAGCCCTCTTTAGTAAATATGTGCATTTGTTCTGCACTGGACATCTTATGCTTCTATAACTCATACTAAATTACACTTTGTTCGATGTCATGACTTGTTACTTAGGCATCAATTATAACAAGGTTCATATATATGGACCGTTATGCTGATTGTAATGTTCTTTTCTGTTTTCCTTGTGATAACCTCTATCATTTTCCCCCTCCTAACAGAATTAATTGTTACACGTAAACGTGGTCTTTATCTTGTAACAGGTTTCATTCATTTACTTTAATGCTGACAGTACTCGCGATTTGGCAAATTTTTCATAGCAGATTTGGCTGAAAATGCAAATACAAAGTCCTTGTTCGTGGTACCATTAATTTTTGCCTTCGATTTGACAATCACGAGAAAGAGAGAGAAAATGTCCATTAGTTTTAGGATTACGACAATGCTCCCTGTTTGTCCCAATAACTTTATGCTGGAGAGAAATGTGGTGGAAATAGGTTTGTAAATGGGGATGCAAAGTAGGTTGTGAAGTTAACAATTGGGAGTATAGGTGGGTAGAAGTCCAAATCACCCTCAATAATTAAATGAATAATTTATAGGCGGAAAGTTCAACCAATTTCCCAAGATTTTCTCTCAGAGATAGATATCACGAGAACTAAAAATGATTACCAAAAGATAATGATATAGTTTTACAATTTGAAAGAAGGAAGAGATAAACCCTTATCACTTTATCTCAAATAAGTTGGGTATTGAGCATCTAGTCCAATGTGCTGATTTCCTTTAAATACCGAACAAAATTTGGGATACATCGTTTGTGGTGTGGATCTTAATACTCTTCAATCCTAGGCTTATAGCCTATGAAGTTAAACGAGCCACGATTTTTCATCATCGTCTAGGGGTTATTTGGGTATCACAAAAAATACCCAACATTGGACATCTTATGCTTCTATAACTCTAATACTAAATTTCACTTTGTTCGATGTCATGACTTGTTACTTAGGCATCAATTATAAGAAGGTTCATCTATATGGACCGTTATGCTGATTGTTAATGTTCTTTCCTGTTTTCCTTGTGATAACCTCTATCATTTTCCCCCTCCTAACAGATTTAATTGTTACACGTAAATGTAGTCTTTATCTTGTAACAGGTTTCATTCATTTACTTTAATGCTGACAGTACTCCCGATTTGGCAAATTTTTCATAGCAGATTTGGCTGAAAATGCAAATACGAAACCCTTGTTCGTGGTACCATTAATTTTTGCCATTGATTTGACAATCGCGAGAAGGAGAGAGAAAATGTCCATTAGTTTTAGGATTACGACAATGCTCTCTGTTTGTCCCAATAACTTTATGCTGGAGAGAAATGTGGTGGAAATAGGTTTGTACATTTTAGTTTTCTTTCCTTTTTTTCATTTGAAAATCCATTTTTGTCCATGCACCAATCTCCATTCTAGTGCATGAACTGGATCTGGATTGAGGTAGAGCTATTTCTTTGTGCAATTCATTTGAGAATTCACTTCTGTTCGTGCACCACTTTCCAGTCTACTGCATCAATTGAGATTTGTAGTGAGTTGTAACTGGAGAGAGACAGGACGTGGGTGATCCTCAAAATGATATTTCATGTCTTTCATATTTTGTACGTAAATCGATTGTTTTTTTCTAGTTTTAATCATACATTTTCCAAAAATAAAAATCACTATTCAAAATATAATTTTTTTCATCAATATATTAGCAGTGGTATATGAAATCTCGTTACTTTTCTAGCATATTGTTCTATCTTGGGGATTTTGAGTTCTTCGAATGGAAAGGTTAAATGAAGCACGAGCCAGAGCTACATAAGTAAAATGTATTATGAAATGATATCATAATAGTTTGGGATGTCAAGAATCTGCCTTACAATATCTACAAAATAACGACAAAGTTTCTCTCTGAAAATGATCAAAATCAAGTGCATCGGTGGAGTTGTTTGGCAAGAACAACGTCAACATTCCATTCATTTCCAATATCATACCTCACATCATTGAGTACATGATGCTTCATGCCAAAGTGGATGGAGATTCGGATGCCGTTGGTCAAGACCTCGATGTGTCGAACTTTGAATTTGATCAACTTAATCAAATCAGATTTGAAGAGTTTTGTCATGGTATCGTATCTCCTCATTTTATTTTATTTTATTGTTTGAATATGTGATTTATTAGATTTTTAATATTTTTACGTTAATTTTCTACTTGTTTATTGGTGAAGAAAATTCGATTCGAATTGAACATTCAAAGTGGTGAGACATAACATTTTCTATTGTCATCTCTTAAAATACCCATTGCTGAATTTCTCTCCACAGTGTACAAGAGAAGATTGAAGCGGTATACCCATGGGTGGAACCGCATTAATTCTACCATAGCTAATTATTTGCTTATTCAACAGAACTTAGAGAAGAAGTATCAGAATGTAACGAGCAAGTAAACAACGGGAACTCATCTTAAATTTGTTGGTGTATAGCGCTGAATATGCAAATTATATTCTGAAAAAAGACTTACTCAAATTGCAGAAATTCAGAAAGCAAATAATGAAATGGTAAACGGAGACTAGAGTTTGACCCTATCTCTTTAAGACAAATTTGCCCCATCCAGGTGCTCATAGAGTATTGACAATCATCTCCTGAGATACAACTGTCTTCTTTTTGCAGTAGAAGCACTTCAAACGGCAAGAACAACGAACTCAAAATTTGTTTTGTACTCTCTACTTGGAATGAATTTTTTATGCCAAAAAACTATTTGATTTTACAGAATGCAATGACATAATGAATACTTATAATGTTGAATGAATTAATTCCAACATAGGGGTCCAATTTATAGAGGTTGAAGGATTGTAGCCGAAGAGACACGCACCATAAATTTGCATGTTTCACAAACAACCATGTCTTCTTGGATTTTCCAAATTAATTTATTTTAAATCTCCAACAGAAAAGAATAACCAAGCCCACGAGTCGAGCCAGTCGGACGGCGGCGATGGCACGCGGACTTTGGACCGAACCAAATATAATTCTTTGTTCCATTGTTAGCCATCTTTATATTTGTTAATTTCTACAATGTATGCTCTATTTTCTTATACATCAACACCTGCTGTTTGTTTACTTTCACATTTATGCTTGTAATTGCCTGTTGCCTTTAAATGCTTGGAAACAATGTCTTGACTGCAAATTGGCCAAATGTAACTAGAGAATGTCTAATTCCTTGCTGGTTTATTAAATTGGGGATTTGCCTTGCATTTTGATTCTTTTGTATTGTTTGTTTCTTCTCTTTTTTCGAGTTTAAAATAATTTCTACCCTTCTATTGTTTTCTTTTCCTTTTTAGCCGTACATGCAATTTTTACTCTGTTTTTCTGTTCTTTATTTTGGGGTTTGCATGCTCAAATGAAACATTATTGTCTCTGGTGTGTATGGGTTGGAAAATTATTATTCTTTTAGCACCTTGGTAATATGATTCTTTGTCTCATTGTGGAGATGAATCTACCTGGCAGCAGCTTGTAGGGTTCTAGGCTTCTTGCCACGGGGATCTTTTTATTTGTTAATTTCTACGATGTCTGTTCTAACTTCTTGGTTATACGTCCATATCTGCTGCTACTTTGCTTTCACATGAATACTTGTAATTAATTGTTGCCTTTGAATGCATGGAATCCATACCTTGTCTTCAAATTCATCAAATGTATTGAGAGAATGTCTAATTCCTTGCTATCAGAGAATGATGTTATCCAATTTGAAAGTAACCTCCATAGCCAGTTGTCCAAACAGTATGCTCTTGAGGTTTATGGACACCTAATCCAAAAATGCATTTTGGTTTCCCCTGATTTGTAGAAGGGTTTGCACTTTTGTGCTTTTAATATTTACAGATTTGCTGATGAATGCCATTCTTTAGGCTGCTAACTATTTGAACATCAAGAGCCTGCTAGACCTTACATTTCAAACTGTGGCAGACATTATCAAGGGGAGGACCCCGGAGCAAATCCTCAACCTTTTCAACATCAAGGATGAATTCACTCCAGAAGAGCAAGAGGAGATTAGGATGGTGAATGCCTGGGCATTTCAATGATTCTGAGTCTCCAAGGCGAGATGCTGGAAATCGAGACAATGTTGTAAAGTAGTAGTACCCTGGGCTATGTAGCACGGACTTTCCCATTTGTTCTACTCTAGACATCTTATCCTTCTACAACTCTAATACTACATGTTCATTTTGTTTGATGTCAGGATGGGGTAATTAGGCATCAATTATAAAAAAGTTTGTATGCACCCACATGGTACTTCATTGTATAATATATATATACACACATATAAGATCCATTATTATAGATATCATTATTTACATTCGGAAAGCGGTATGCTTTGAAAGAAGCTTCTTCAATTTGGAAAGGGTTTTTTGATTGATAAAAAAAGAATAATCTACTTTAACCTATATGCCCTTAGGCACGGCCATACGTAACATAGAAATCCCACTTGAAAATGGTAAATAATTAGTTAGTGTCATACTGTTCTTAAACATGTTTTTTTGTGTTTTGGGAAGAATAAAACTTCTTGTACAACAACCATCTAATGATGGGTTGACACCCGTGTACCTGTCAACTCATTTGTCAACTGCTACTGTACATGAAGCAAAGTTCTTCAGAGAAATCCTAGTAACTCAAATCACATCTAGTGGAATGGAAGTTTTATTTTAAATAAAAATAAAAGATTTATCAAAATGTAAAAATATCGTAAAATCAATTATGTTCTAAGGTTGTGCTGTACAATTTTTGCGTTGTTTTGAAAAAAATTCTTATAACTCACAGTACAAGTATTAGGTTGAAAAAATTGGTTTTTTTTTTTTTTTCTCATTTGAAGAATAAACTAATACAACTTTCCAACTATATAAGATTCACCAAGATTTAAAAATTTCGTTTTGAATGTTTTCAGTGAATATTCTGAAAGGGAAATGCTAGAGGTAGATCACCTCTTACATCGGGGTGTCCATTATGGACACTCTTGTATAAGTGGTAATGTACCACTAGAATAATACATTCTGAAAACACTCAAAATATGGAAAATAAGTATTTAAATAAAATTTTATTTGAATGAAATGAAAAAAAAAATTCTAACAAATAAAATTTAAAATATATTAAAAACCAATAAAATAAATTCTAAAATTAAAAATTAAAATAAAATAAAATTTTAAATATTTTTAAAAAAAACTATAAAAAATTCAAAGTTGAAAATAAAAATAGTTCAAGCTCTTAATTATTATTTACATAAAAATTCTAAAATGGTATTGAAATCCCTGTTTGATAACTATTATTTTAAAATTTATTAATTCTTATACTCATTTTTAACTGCACATTTACATAATAAAATATGTCCACTTAAATCTAAATTTTTTTACTATTTCTTAACCACACATTTTCCAAAAAATCATTATTCAAAACCCTATTTTTCAAAATAATGATCATCAAACAAGGGTTAAGCGAACAGAGATAAAAATAATATCAATCCACATCACTAATTTTCATTTTTATTTCCTATATTTTGAACTCAATTTAATATTTATTTTTATTTTACTTTTGTAGCGAAAAAAATATTATAAAATTCACAAACTTTAAAATGTATATATTACATGATAATATATTAATATAAAAATTTAGAAATTTATTTTTTATGATTATATATTCCTAGAAATCTTTATCTTGTATTCTTGGAGATTCCATTAGAAAATGTGCATTTTCCCAAATAGGAGAGTGATAACAGTTCTTCTGGAGAGGAAAAGAACAGAAAATTTATAATTGGTCCAATCCAAGTAATTAGCATTACTTTTTTTTTTATAATTTGGCAAATAATTTGTCTCCACGTCATCTCCACCTTGTTCCCCATTTGAATTTGTCAATAAAACAAACTTAACATTTCATAAATAAAATTATCTCGACACAATCGTTTTCCAGTCAAACCATAGAAAATTGAAGACATTAAACTGGAGAGGATGCCATGCTCTCCAAATAAAATCCGCTTCTTCGAGGAAAACCAACGAACTTGACGAGAAATCAAATTATAGTGCTCTTCTCAAGTGGAAGTTCTGAGGTTCCAAATCAATGGCGGATATCGAGCCGTTGTTGCAGAACACCAGCACCAGCGAGATACAAACCGCAGACCATGAAGAACAAGCCGGTGAAAGTACCTCTACTAAGAGCAAAACTGCACGCTTGGCTTCGCTGGATGTGTTTCGAGGCCTCTGCGTTTTCGTAATGTTCTCTTTCATTTAGCTCTGAAAATTAAATATCAGTTAAGTTTTTAATCTTTATTTCATATACTTATGATTAAATAATTTGAATTAATATGTGATTTTGGTTTAAAGTGGTTAACATCGTGCTTTTCGATCTTCTTTCTCGATTTCCTGATGTATTTTTAACGTGACCGCTGACGATTATTCCTTGATATCGACAGCGGTTTTGAAATTCAAGCTAACCCACTTTTTTCGATCTGTATGTTTGTCAAAGGACTTATTGTTAAGTTTCTTTCTAGTGAGGTTGTGCTATTTCTAATTCAGATCGAAATTTCTCTCCTTAGTACTTGTGAAGTAATGCGGTCTGCGTTGAAGCATCATTTTAAGCTTTAGAAAGTCCTGATGGAGGTCTATTGATTTTTTTTTCCTTGGAAGTGTGTTTTTATTTCAGTCCTTTTTTTTTTTTTAAGGAACAGAACTATACAAATATCCATACGAAAAGGTATGGTAATCCACACATTTATCCCACTAATTGGAGTTTAGGAAGGACATGTTTACTGAGAAGTATTTTCTTTTTTAATATGATTGCAGAATCCGTGAAGTAAAATTTTGCACAAACTTGTAATTTTCAATGGCAGCTTAGAATAGCTTTAGATCCTTGATCGATGGAGTATATCAATGTCCATGTTTCCAGGGGACTTTGGGAGCAATGCTAAATTGAAGCTGAAAATATGAGCTATCACAAAGCTTTTCTCTTTACATATGATAAATGTGCATGAAGAATGTAATTTTACGTTCCCACCCATGTTTTGGTATAATCAATTAGAGGTCTTTCAATTTTTATTTGTGATTCAAAGTTTTCATAATAATGTTTACCATAGATCCAAAAAAGTAAGCAACCTCTTCAACCATAGCCTGAAGATTATTAGTTTCTGTTATTGATCTTTTCTTAACCTTGCAGAAAGAGGTTTGAGGTCAGGTAATGATAATCGTGGCATATGACTTAATAGATTTTTTCCCTTTCAGCTTATGATGCTTGTAGATTACGCTGGCTCTATTTTCCCAATCATTGCTCATGTCCCGTGGAATGGCGTACATTTGGCAGATTTTGTGATGCCTTTCTTCCTTTTTGTTGCTGGAGTTTCTGTGGCGATAGTTTACAAGGTAACTGTATTTCAAGAGTGTACTAGGAAACATAACGTGTCATGTAAAGCAGAGGTTATGCATACATTTCTAGCTATAATTTGTGGCTACCAATGGCTATTTCCATTGTGATCAAAATGAGGTTAACATTAGTATCTATTACTGATTAGGTTGGTAGATTGTTTTACCTCACCACGAAAGGCTCGTTTCAACTTTAAAATTGCAGAAAGTTTCTAATAGAGTTGACGCCACGTGGAAGGCAGTGCTTAGAGCATTGGAACTTTTCCTCCTTGGTGTTTTTTTACAGGGTAATACTACCTATAATATTATCAATTTACAGAGATATGTGATGCAGGAATTTGGGACATCTGAGTCTTAATAATGGAAATTTGATTGTGAACAGCTTGATCGTTACTTTTGTTGTTTGCTTTCATCCATTTGGGCTTATGTATCAAATTTAATCATTTCTCATAATGAATGTTTGACATTTCTGGAAATGGATCAATCTATTAGTTCCAAATTGAGCAAAAATTAATTTATAATAAGTTCAATCCTCCTCCTCCTCCTCCTCCTCCACTCTCTCTTTGCGTTATGTATCGAGGCTTCATCCTTCTCTTGAATATGGAAAAAGCACATGCTATATTTCTCCTTCTAATGGAATATTATATTTGCACCTTTGTTTCAACAGTATAATGGATAGAAGCATCTTAGTCTGTAGGATAAAATGGAAATGTTGGGAGGAAAATAATTCGAATTAGGATACCTCCTTGTAGGTACTTGATAATATTCTACTTTGCTAGTCTTCTGAGGTGGTAAGTTATGTTGGCAATGCCTTTCTTCCTTTTTGTCTGTTATCTATGACCACTTGTCTTCTTTTTAGCTTTTTGTGATTTATGGCATAAATATGTACTAGTCAAAGAAGAGAAGCAATTCGGAGTGACTTTCCTGAAATAAACAAGAGAATTTACTGAATGAATTGATGACCAAGAGATCAATAATAAGAGATAGTATTTGAGTCCTTAATATAGAGTCATAATGGTCTACAAAACAATAGTTGAACTTTACAAAATAGTATTGGAGATGTCATTTGAAAATTGTAGTTTCGTACTTTTTGACTTCATGGCAATGTTAAGGTCTCTTTTTAAATAATTATTGCTTTTCTTTCATATTATTGTTACACCATTGGACATCTTGTCAACATATACTGATTGACAATGTAGTATTTAAAGGTTTACTTTTTTCTTTTTTTTCAGGTGGATATTTCCATGGTATTAATTCTTTGGCCTATGGAGTGGACATTGAAAGAATACGATTGCTAGGCATTCTACAGGTGCTTTTGACTTGCAACTTATCTACAATGAAGCCATGCATTTGCTTAATTAGCTTCTGTTCAATGGGTAATTAATTAGATCATTCACTGAGGGAAATTTGTTTGTAAAAGACGAATGTCCGAGCTTTGTAATACAAGAGCCGAAGTCTTTTCTTATTGCTTCAGGCTTCTCACGTCAAGTAGTTTCTGTTTGCGTTCTTGTGTTTTTTCTTCTTCTTTTTATTTCTTTTTTTGAATATGTTAGTAGGCATTTGTGTGGCACAACTTATTTGAAAATCATTTTTCGTCATACTCATTTTCAACCAACCATTCCCAATGTAAGAATTTTGCACGGTGATTCATAATTTCTCTTTCTAACCACACATTCTCAAAAAAAAAATCTGTTTTCACTTCAAATAATCTCTCCCCCCCCCCCCCCCCCCTCACACACACACACACAAAAACTAATTTAGGGATACGAGTGAAATATTACTATTACAGCATTTATGAACCCTACTTTTGTCTTTGGTACAGAGAATAGCCATTGGATACGTTGTAGCAGCTTTGTGCGAAATATGGCTTTCATGTCAAAGGTGGAGGCAAGATGGTTTCCCTGGAAGTTATACTTTGCACTGGTGAGCCCATCAAGCATAGCGTGATTTTCACTCTATATACTTTAAAGCTGATACATTTTATCTATAATATATTAAATATACCCATTCACCCAACTAGTCCCTTGTCTGTTCCTCTCTAACAAGTCCATGATAACAAATCCTATAGAACTGTGATTCGATAGATTGAGAGTATAGAGCTTTTCAAATATCGCTTTCAAGCTATTTTTGAATATATTTAAATATTGAAAATACTTTATATGAATAGAAGAACATTTAAAGGAAGTTGACTTATTTTTCTACAAAAAGTAAAAGTAAATGCAGAAGTCTTGTTAAATTCATAATATATTAAATATCATATCGAGTGAAAATTATTTTTTGGACGATTTTAACCCTACTATAATTCAATTATATCAATGATACCTTACTTTTCGTTTTTCAATATCTATTTAATTTATTTAATCATTTAGTTATCATCAATGTACATGTACATACATTTGACAGATTCATTTCACATGTACTTTCATTAATGTATGACTTCCCTATTGTTAATTCTCAATTAATTAACATTAACATTCAATTAATTAATTCTCATTTTCATTTATGCATTTCAATGTTATTAATTTTAATTATAAGTTAATTAGAACTTCACATTCAATAATGTATTTCATTATTCGCGTCCATATATGCTATTTAGCATCCAGTTTTATTTAATTGAAAATTAAATAAATGATTTAACATTCATTGTTACGTATATATTTCCTGGTATTAATTCTAAATTAATTAATATTCACGCATATTCAAATGTGCTTTAAATCCTGATAAGAGATAACTCATATGCTTTTTTATTATTTGTGAAGAAAAATAAATTACAAATAAGAAAAATTCAGGGTTTACTTAACTAAGAGGACTCTAGTGATGCGCATGCACCTATATGCAAGGCACCAACCAATGACAGAAAACTAATCTGACATATCTCGAACCATTTCCTACCTTAATATGGACTGAATTCAAACATAAATAAAACTCATGGGTGAAATAAATATTTGATAGATCACATAGAGCCTATGAATGAGGTGGGTTGATTAACAACCTAAATGCCTATTAATGCAAATCAAGGGAAGGGTCAAGGTCAGTCTCTGCTTATTTCTTTTGCCACGCACCTGACTGCTACCCTAGCCTGTTCCCTTGGAAGACCTCGCCAAAGTAGAAAGGCAAGACGGAGAGGGTTGAAAGAGATTGTTCAAGTTAAGCCACAGACTTCTCCTAAGCGTGCATCAAGTACTTGAGAATTTGTGGGATATCATGTCCTACAAGTTAGTTTCCTTGTGCTCCTTAGGAGGGCTGTCAACCAGAAGATCAAGTTGGATTTCGGGACTAGGGGAATTTGGAAAGCTTGAAATGACACAAACACTTTCAACTTGACCATATGAAAAGTGCAAAAATATAGGTATCTATAGTGAGAAAAGAACTCCCCATTTTCCCAACAAGTCCCTGCATTGACAGATGACATGCAGTTTTAGATGAACAATTTGGACCATGTTAGACAATCCCTATTGTTTAAAAATATTTCCAGGTTGTAGATGATTATGTACACCATGAGGATTCCCAGTATCTTTTGTTCATTTAATTTAAAGGATTATTTTCTCTGTGCATGCTTCTTCTGAAGACAGCTGAAAGTTTCCGTTTTATAGGTGTGCTGTTTTGTCACTGTGCGCTATCTATCTGGGGTTATTATATGGCTTGTATGTTCCCGATTGGCAATTCGGAGTGGTGCAGTCTCCTTCCCTGGTTACTGCAAATAACAGCCATGTCTACACTGTAAGAGCACATTCTATTATGATTCTCCTTACGGAGCATGTTATATTATGATTCGTCTTTTCTTACTTTTAGAGGTTCTGATGATGGAAATTCAACTGAAAATTTGAAAAATATCATTGTCCACTTCTTGCTAGTGAAACCTTATAAATAATGAGATTGCTCTTTCAAATTTTTTTTTTTAAGAACTTACTGAATACTTCATTATAATGTTAAAAGCCCACAATCTTTTTTTTTTTATATGTTTCTCTCACAACTCTCAGTTTAGAAAGAGATTAATTTTGGTTTGAGTGTTGGTTAACAATCAAGAGAGGAGATAAGCGAAAATGAAAAAGGAAATAATTCTTGCATGCATAAATGAGACGATTCACTTTATATCTTTGTACTATTCCACTACTTTGTTTAATAATAGTCCAGAATTAGTGTCATGAACCCAGTACTCTCTTTAAACTACTCCTACAGAAAATGCAGTGATGCAAATTCTGACTTGTGAGAGTATATGCTCACAAACAATTATCACTAGCATACTCATTACATCGTTGTATTTGAGGTTGTCAAAGATTGAAAAAGTTTTGTTTGTTGAACAGGTGAAGTGTTCTGTAAGAGGTGATCTCGGGCCTGCATGTAATTCAGCTGGAATGATAGATCGTAATGTTCTTGGAATTGATCATCTTTATGCCAAACCCGTGTACAGAAATTTGAAGGTATTTTACTGTGGAGTGAATTACTGTTAATTTCTCATATCATGCAATTCTTCAGCACATTAAGCGGCATTTAATATGAAGGAATGCAATATATCAAGCCATGGCCAAGTTCCACAGACTGCACCTTCATGGTGTCATGCACCTTTTGATCCTGAAGGTATTTTAAGGTAAGCAATTTGCATATCTTTCTTTTTGTTCTCCCTCAGTTTATGCAACTGAGATACGTGAAGTAGTGATCTAAAGCCTTTTCTTTTAACCTTCGAATTTACACTGTTCTGATAGTTCACTAACTGCTGCTGTGAGCTGCATCATCGGACTTCAATACGGCCACATTCTTGTACAGTTGCAGGTGAGACACTGGAACCGAATAGCTGCTTTTAAAATACAATCTATTGTGAATGCAAGTGCTAGAGTAATTGTTTTCCTTTTGTTGCTCAACTAGCTGTTTGGTGTTTCTTGGTTAATGACATCACACGGAGAGGGAGGGAGGGTGGGAGGGAGAGAGAGAGAGAGAGAGAGAGACGTAAAGTAGTTGCTTGCTGACTTTATCCTCGTTTTTTTTTCCTGACTTGGATCTATTAAGCTCTGGACAAAAATGAGATCACTGTGAAACTGACACTATTGCTAGAAATTTGTCTAATAGATTATGCACCTATTTAATGCACGTTTAGAATTCAAAGGCCAAGAAACATATCATCTTACTAGCGAAATTTTATTTATTTATGAAAAACATTGTTGTGGAGCTCTAACCAATGAATTCTTTTTCAGGATCATAAAGAGCGGCTGTTCAAGTGGTCCATTTTCTCCTTTGCATTTCTGGGTCTTGGTCTCTTCCTCGCTTTCATGGGTATGCTTTCTTAGGGTTTATGGATGTTCTGGGTAATACATATACAATTAAATGGATAGTTTGGTGGTCATTATATTTGATCAATGAACACCAATCGTTGATACATACAGTCAAAGACAAGTTACAATGTCAGCTAGTACTTGTAACTCCTGGTTCTGCAAATACCTCACTCGCTCCATCCATAATTACAGGATTTTTATGTTCTAGGACAAAATTCTCTAGAAATTCTTTGTTTTTTGACTATCTACCATGTATGCACTCACTGAAGTAGTAATATGTACATGCCATTTACCTTTTTGTCTGAACTTGTTTTCAGGTATACCTTTAAACAAATCTTTGTACACAATCAGCTATTTGTTGGTCACCTCAGCATGTTCTGGAATCACTTTTTGCATACTGTATACATTGGTAAGTATCAAGAGTGCAACTATTATCTTCAGAGTTGTAAATACTTTTGGACATTCATGAATTCTTGAATCTATAGCAGTTTATATGCTCAGTCTCATTCCTACCCCTTCCAAACCTATCCATGGACAAAAAATGTTTTAGAAAACATTTATTCAAAATCGACAGTTCTGTTTAATCATGCAATGAATGTCACTAGGTGTGCAGGTTAGGGGAACTAATGGAACTAATACTCCTTTCTGGCATATTTTACGGTGTTTTCTTCTTTTCAAGCATCTGATCTTCTACTAATTTGTAGTGGAGTATGTTTTAGTGTTAATGTAGGTTATAACTTGTTCGATTTGGTTATTGAGCGTCTTCCCTACAGGTAGATGTTTATGGTTGGAGATGGTTGACATGTGTGTTAGAGTGGATGGGAAAGCATTCTCTAAGTATCTTTATTCTCGTATCTTCCAACATAATTGTGATTACAGTTCAAGGTTTCTACTTGAAGTCTCCTGAAAATAACATTGTAAGTACTGCAACAAGTGACTAATTTTCTCATTTTATCATCCGGAAGAATAATTTTATTTGCTCCCATTTTTCTGGTGAACAGGTTCACTGGATCGTATCTGTATTTGTGCATAAATGATTAACAACACCAATACATCCTGATGTAGTTGGAGGTTGCTTCAACACACCAAACTGATCTAGTAAGTTTTCGTATGTAAAATGATTTTATTTGATTTAAAAATATTTTAGGATGTAGAAAACATATCAGTTTGCGGATAATTCCCCAGCTTATTTTTCGAGTAGTAAGTTGATCCTCAACCTTTAAATAAACGAGCAAATTGATCATCCATCACTCGTTACAGTTACAAGTCGGTCTCTTCTACTAAACTTAAAACATGATCCTGAATTATGCCTACTCAGCATTTTAACTAGATTGATGCTTATTGAATTCCGGACAGAAGAAACGATGAATTTGTTGCTGGTTTGATTATTGACGGTTAAATTATTGTTTTAAAATAGGTAACCTACAAACTTGAAGTGTCTCATTTGTTTAAATTAATAGAATGAAAAATTAAGTACATAATTAAATTAAACCGACCATAGCCGTAATCAAGAATCATAGAATCCTTTCTTTAATTAATGATTAATTTAACTAAAATCTTATCCGAAAATAGCTACCGCATAGCAGCATCATATGTGGTATTATATTCGCTTAAAAGCATCGAATTTCTGAAGTTGGTGCTGATGGATACGTTTGTGCTAACGCATTTGTTAATGATTGGGCCTTAAAATTTATAAAATGGAAGATTAATCGGCTTCGTTGTCCTCAATTCAAATGCAACATCTTGGTATTGTTTTTTTCTTTTTGATAAATGAGATTGAATATAAACGGTATGCTAAGCAAAGTTGCTTAGATACTGACACATCAAATCAATAAATCTAATTTAATTCTTGAAATTTGCTATAAACTAATGAATTGATGTGAGCTAAGTAAAGGTGCTTGAGATATGAGAATCACGAGCCTCCCTTCTTTAATTTTGTCCAGATTAAGCATCACTTGAAAATGAGGTGAGCTTATCTCGCAAGGTATTCTTACTTTATTAAACGAATGGTGCTCGAAGTGTCACTCGAGTCTGGCCTGGCCTTGGATTACAAAAATGTCATGAAATTCTACCATATAAATGTAAGAAAGCGCGGAGGAATATTCTCGTGATAGTTTTCGTCAAATATATGAAATGAAAGCAATTGTCCTATCTCCTCAATTATTGCTTTCTTGATTAAATAATATTTAAACACAATAGTTATTGACTCGAGAAATTTTCGAGTCTTACAAAGCCAATGTTTGGTTTCATTATTTTCTAAATGAATTTTTTTATTTTCTATCGCATATTCTTCCATAAAATAATATTACGTGTAAATTTAAAACTTTTCATTTTGTAACTATACATTTTCTAAAAAATTACCATTCTAAAATATATTTTCACTCAAAATCGCATTAAAATAAAACTCAAATAGGGGCAAACCTAGGAGTTTCTCTCTACGTTTAAACACTTAAGAGCATATTTAAACATAAGATACTATCTATTTTAAAGAGTCGATTTCTAAAGTTATGCTCCAAGAAAGTTTTTAAGTTAAACATTTTAATCAGAGCGAATTTGACTCTTCAAAATTGAAGAGCTAATTCCACTATCTATAATTAAATGCATTAAAAGTATTTCAATTTTAAATGAAGGAAAATAATATAATAATTTGGATGAAAGTTAAAGAAAATAAAAGATAGGAAAAAATAATAAATATTTTTTAGGAGCAATAAAATTAAATATTAATTATAAAGAACACGTTGGAGTACTGAAAAAAAATTTATCCTCTAAATTTATAGATGTTTTCTAAATTGTAGAATATGCTCTTTAAAAACATTTTCAAAAGACTTTAAATACAAAATACTCTCCATTTTAGAGAGTCATTGCTTAAAAATAAATCTCAAGAAACTCTTTATTTTCAAAATAAAGAGTGTGTTGGGCTCTCCAAACTCACTCTTTATTCTTATTTAATAATGAATGCATTTAATAAATAATAAATTTCAATACTCTATTATTTAAATTATTCAAATCACATTTGAATTGATTGGTCATTAATATATAAAAATATATGTTAAATAAAAGATGATGAGAAATCATTAAATGTTCATAAGAAAAAAAAATAAAGAGTCAAAATAGAAAATATTGTTATAGTGTATAAAAAAACTATTCTCTAATTTAAATATGCTTTCTATTATGCATGGGACGCTCTTTATAAATAAAGTCACTTGAAGTTGTTCTTATAATTATTTATTTAACCCTTGTTTGATGGAAATTAAAATATGATTTTTAGCAAATTTTAATAAAATGTGTGGTTAAAAAGTTGTGAATTACATGACATATATGGTTAAATTAATTGCTGACTTTGATTAGATTTTAATCCTTATCAAACATGAGCATAATTTACTCGTAATTTTTGTTAATGTCAATTTTTGGATCGTATGTATTCAATCATGCTATGTGTATAATAATGGTTGACAATGTTTGTTGACAATTATGATTTGACATCATTACATTCACCCATTTAAAAAAAAAATCAAAATTTATTTTTTAAATCAACTATCCAAATTTTGCCACATCAAACATTGGTAATAAACATTGTCAACCATCATTGTACAAGTAGAT